TCAAGATCCCAAAGGCATGACAATGTCTTCGGAACGTAATATTACTGAAGCGCGCTTTTCAAAAGAACATTTTGGTAAGCAACATTAAGCAAACAAAAGAAAATTGGAAACATAACAAGCACACTTCCTTTATAATGACGCACAGTTTACGGGCAATACGTTCACAGAGAGCCGTGCGAGCAAAACCAATATGGATATCTGTCGGAGTGGTGGTGGATGGGGGGGGGCACACACGGGAGTAGAAAACCACGGCTGAGTGCGTTGAGTCGAGCAAACCCAGTGCAGCCGTCGAACCGAACTGGGGATCAGGAATGCGAGATGAAGAGGAGGGGGCAAGGGAGGTGGTCCAGAGTGGCTCTTTTGGTGAAGCCGTAACTTGAAGGACAATGTAGTGGCTCAGTGGTGGTAGTTGTGCCAGAAGAAGAACGTTCGACCCCTTGCTGCGACGACGCACGGTTCAAGAATTCGCAGGTCATTCTCAGGAAACTTCCAGAACACAGAGCGTAAAAAAAGAGTGCGCAAGTGAGCACGGAGAGATTCGCGCTGGGAATTACATTGAGAGACAGAGGGAGGAACACACGGATTCGATGTGCCTCTTGACTACAAAAGTACAATCCCAATATGTGTTGCTCGTTAGCTTCAACCAATGAGCTAATTGCTCTGCCGAGTTGAACACGTAGGCACCGCTGATTTCGCATTAATCGGTCCAACCTGATGCTCAAGCTTAACACTCTGAAATGTACACATCCACAACAAAAAATATCCTGAAGCAGATCAGTGCTGGATACAACCAAATGTTCCAATGTGATTTGTAACTTTGATCCTTACCCGTGTGTCGATAGTTACATTTTCGCAGACAATGTTATCGAGGGACGGTGAGTTGTTGTCTTTATGTGGTCTGGCACTGTTGTTGTTATTGTTTTTTCTGCTTTGCCCAAGGTTGCATTGTTGAAACATCTGCAGGACTTGATATACATGCTTGCAATGTGTAATAATGTACTTTATTTATGTTTAGTGATTTGGTTACTTTTCCAATACTGTGCAGTCCTGTCGTATTTTTGCGTTGTTTGTCGCCGTAACTTTCTGACCCGCCCGCTACTGGACACCTGTGAAAAAGAGCTTCATAGCTCATCGGATTCCTCCTGCGGTATAAATACAGATTCTGATCCTGCTTCTGATACAGCTCGTACCACACGCTCACACAAATTACGGGTGGAGAGAAGTCACGCTATCATTTGTGATATCCAGGTCGCTTACGTAACAGAGCTAGTACATAGCTCAGTGGGCCTTTCCTGGTAAGATAAAAAAAATAGTTGCGTTTAGTCCACTGATTGCGGCGTATCGATGTAGACTCACAGAGGCGGCGGGGGCAGACTTAAGAAACCTGCACCGTCGTTCGAACTGCCGTGCTGGGCGATCGAGCCGGCGACCCTCCTGGGTTGCCAAGTGCAGTGCACTCACGATTGCACCCCAGCAGTGTCTCCTTCATGTTTTGTACTGCAGATATGTTGTATTATGATGATGATGATTATCTTGCGCACTGTGCATAAGTGCAAACAGAAATGCACATGAAATAACACGACGCTGCATTTAGCTTGTTGGAACATTACCAGAGTAAATGCCTAATTGTACACGTCTTGTACATATCAACACGTCTTGAATACACTAACACGTGTTGTACATATTAGCGTGTATTATGATGCATTGTGTGCGAAATGGAAATTCTCAAAGCTCGCTTTCTGAACATCATGCACGGTATTTATGTGATGCATAAAAGGTGTGCGTTTTGTATTGTTATTATAACCACGTTGGAACTTTAAAAAAATTCTGGGTTTTGTTACTTGGAGGTGGTTAGGATGAGTTTAGAAGTGTTTACTTACGGGAATTTAAAGGTATTTCGGTATGAATAAATGTCCGCACACACAGTGAGAGCCACGATAATTGCCTTCTGAGCTGCAGTACAATGGATAGAACCACCGTGATGTCACGTGAAAGAGTGGTGCAATAATGTTCACGTTAAAAGGGATTCCACCTCTTAGCTCTCCGGCTAACCTTAGGCTACAATGCAATGGTTTCCATTGTCACTAATGCCCGTGTAATGTTATTGAATGTGATAGTGATTTTATTTTTTATGCAAGCTATTTTCATGCAAAGTCGAGGGGTGGGGGGTGTTTTAGGCAGATCCACATGTTGCTGCGAAACCATGTTGTCGATGTTGTTTAAATATTTGCAGTTTCAAACAACATACATACACGGTGTTTTTTTTTTCATTTATCCGACCGGCAATAATTTTGAGTTTTCTTTGTTATTCTCATCATTGAAGGGCTGATGTACGTATGTTTAACTGCTTTCGCAGAGTACGTAGCCAACCATACTAATCGAAGGTGCGGGGGAGAGGGGAAGGACACGAAACTAAACGTATGTTTACAGAGCAAAATCTGTCAGAATGGATACAAAAAAAACTAAATAGTGGGATTTTGTCCAAAAAAAATTCTGCCAAACATTGGCCAAAGCATGCATCGTGTTCAAAGTGTCCACTGCTCCAACTAGCTCATTTCTGTTGGCAAGTGGACAGGGATTTCACATCCCCACGGCAGTAAACCGCCCCCTTGACAGCCGCCACGCTTCACTTCACGTGAAGCGCCATGTGCTTGGTTTTTTTACGTTCCTGAAGGTGTTTAAAAACAAAGCACTTCGCAAAGAATACATCCATACGTGCCAAACTTTTTGTTCTAATTACAGAGGCCTCTTTAAAAAGAAATAATCCAGTGTAAACATCACAAAACTTGCGCTACTTTTTGAAGCCGTGCGGAATAAATTGGTGCAAACAACATGAAATATTTACAACTTCCAGAATTATACAGGCAAGAGGAGAGAGAGACTATTCCCACAAAACTGTTGTCTTTCCAATGAGGTTTGCACGACGAGTTTGGTGTATGTTTTCACGCTTTCAAAATGTTAAGTCCACCAAAAAGTTCATGTCGGCATAGCGGTGTTTACGAGGCCAAGACAATAACGAATACAGTTCTCAAGTTTGAGTTTCGTCACCGACCTGCTAGATAATTCAGACGGACCGTAACGAATTCTACACGCAATGAAGTGTAATTCTCCCAGAAAAGAAAAAAACCATAACTTTCAACAATCTGAAAGCTCGGTCGCATGAACCTCATGTTGTTTAGAGCGAGACTGGATCCCCCTTAGCTTGCCGACCGGATCACCTTTCAATCTCCTGATCCGGCTTCCCTGGCTTTCCCGTCTACTCTCAGATTCCTCACCCGAGTTTATCAATCTCTCCGCGGTCTCGCCCCAACGTGTCATCTTCTCGCTTCCCTCACATCGCTCTACGGCCCCTTCTCGCCCTCTGCCTTCGCAATCCCAGCTGCTGCCTCTCTCCGTCTCTGTTCCCTCTCTCCTCGTGCCCAATCACACGATTCCGTTCTCTCTCGCGCCTGGCCCCCTTCCACTAGAACTGCCCCTACACCTCAAACCATCAGCCCCACTGTCTCTACATTGGTCTTCCCTTAAATCGCTCTCACTTACTATCCCTCGCTTTCCCCAACTCACCCCTTCCTCCCTCCCTTGCGCACCGCTAGCTCCATCCCTCTTCCCAACTCCCCTGCCCACCCATTCGTCACACTCACTCATCATCAGCTGTCACTCATTGTCACTTTCACCACCGTTTATTCCACGCATCGTCATGTTCGTCACGCCCTGCCATCCTTCTCATCAACCCATCTCACGCCAACACACTATTCTGCCGTCCAAATAGATCCTCTACTTTTTGTTCAGCGCCTTCTATTTATGGCGCGACAGCAATTAAAATAAAATAAGGTGAGGATCGACTCCCTTTCCCTGTCGCGTTTTTTCCGTCCTCCCGCCGGCTTCTCTTCTCCTCTCTTTCCTCCTCCTCTCGTCTACTTCTTCGCTCTCCTTCTCCCGGCCATTTCTCCCTCCCCCCCGCCCCCCGTCGCTCCCTAGACCGCAGCTACGGGGATTCGCTGCGATCACACTCGGCTACCGTGGGCTCGCATTCGGAAGGAGATGTCAACCCCGGTTGTTTCCGCGTCTGTGCTGGTGGTTGTGGGGGAGAGGAAGACTAAAATGAGAGATGAAACGCTGCTTCACTCTGTCCGGTTCCGGTTGGTTATGTTTAACGGGCTGCAGGTTACGTGCGTGTGTGTGTTGGGTACAACGGTTATGGAGAGCGGTGGTGTAGCGGTTAGCGCGCTGCCCAGCAAGCCCGGCGGTCCAAGTTCGATTCCCGCTCACGGCCAACACTGTTGACGATTATCTGAACCGGCCATTGGCTTCCCCTGGGTCGACTCAGCCTCAAATGAGTACCTGGTGCGGTGTGTAAACATTGCCACTGGGGAGACAAAGGCGGTCGGGCGTGGTGCTGGCCACCCACCCCCTCATGTGCCGTGCCGGCCTTCATAGGTGCTCACTAACAGCACTTGCCCCAACAGCCTGCTAAGGCTACACGGGGGATCTTTGTCTTTTGTAAACGGCGCAAGCTTTGTAAATGACAATCAGGAAAAAGGTTATCGAAGACACTTTCCAAACCAGCTGCCTTCATTTTTTTTGGTTTAAACATCAATGCTCGTGTCATTGCATCCAGTATTGATACAGTAGCCAGAATGGTTAAATGGTGGACCTTGACTATCGATTTAGCGGCCTTCGGGGGAAAAGGCCTTGATTCACGATGCCGATAATATTAAAATTACCAAGGCTCAGACCTATCTTCACAGACTGCAGCACCGTGCGCATTACCCTATTATTGAACCGTGTTCGAAAGACGCATGAGCTTGCCACAGCAGTGTAGCAGTTTTCACGTCAAAGAGTTCCAAAGATTCGACGAACCATACCATACCGGCCGCACCTGACAAATGTGTGACCTGCGCAAAATGGCTCAAGGCTCCGCACGTCCTGCCGGAGAAAAAAACGGGAGGAAGAAAAGCCCTCTTCATGAATAAACGAGCGAGTTGCACGCCGAGACTCACCCTCGCAGGGTCGACATGCCTCGGCTCGCGATCTCCCGCTCGTGCACACGACGCTGGCCGTCTCCGGCTGCCTCCCATGCAGCCCCGGCACGATCCTGCGGCCACACATCAACACACGTGGGCGCCTCCCGTTAGGACGCTGCGGGCATTTTCTGTTATCAATAATCCATCGAGGTTCCGCACTGTGCACGCTGGGGATGATGTGGCTGGCGCCCGTCACGCGATGCGAGCCACACGATGCAATTTGGTTGCGCTGGCACCGTGGGTAATCACTGGTGGTGCCTCACAGCAAGAGGGGTCCGGGGTTAGACTCCCGACTCAGGCGCTGTATTCCGCGTGCCGTTTGTTCGCTCTCCACTTGATCTGCGCGGAATGTCTCTGGGTTCTCCTGCTTCCTCCCATGGCTGAAAGGATGAAACCCAAAATGTAAACTGCTATTGGCCAAAAGGTTGTTCTGCAAATGTATACGTGGAATTAGACACGCAACAATTGTATCATCCAGAGTGCAACAAAAATGTGGCAAGACCCTCTTCAGATTCAGTGAGGCGTTTCTGGGTAAACAAAGTATGATCGTAGTGGCAATAATACCAAATAACAATGCAAGTGAATGAGTTGCATAGTCTAATTAATTATCGACATGCTTATGACTCGGACAAGCAAAGGTATATAAAATGCCCGCGATGATCCGAGCGAAGGGAATTTATTCCACACAATGAGGCACCACCCATGAGAAAAAAAACATCACGCGCGAGTGTCAATCTCAAATTATACATTTATAAATTACACATATATATGTAAATGTAAATTGCACGCAATAAATTATGAGGCAAGGGTGTTATCGGTTCCCTCCATTATGCATTTCAAAAGTTAAGCCTATGGGTTTAACTACGCATGCTCCTCCTTGGCTAGATGCTTGAATACATTATTGGTAGGCACACGTTAAATTACTTAATGGAGTACAATGTTTCTGCAGGATTAATTAAGCCGCCAGAGTTACAAGAAAATGTATCCACCGCAGGAGAATTGTTTTACTTGACCGCGCTGCGATGGTAACTGTGCGGTCTACACTATCGCAGGTAAGAGGAGTTCTCCTGTACGCATGCAGGCTACCGCTGCTTCATAATACCTCCATCATCCATTGAAATGGGACGGAAAAAAACCACATAAGCATAGAATGTTATCATTTCTGAGGAATGCTTAATGAATAAATCATGATCCCTTCCAGTATGCCGATTCCCAATATAAACGGCATCAACAATGCAATGTATTGTATTGCCTGCCAAATATGGAGTATTGTATTGTTAATGATGTACAATACTTCATATCACAATGCCAATATTCTGATAAGGTGAAGAGGTCATCGCGGCTGACATTTAACTTTCCTTCTCATAAATCCCTCCGTGTATTCACAGTCAACAGCTGACCACGTAGGTCCCACTCGAACATCACCCCACCATCTGGCCTTTCCCCATGGTTCCTGACCTCTGGGCCCCACTCTACTGCTTGCCTCAGGATTGCTAAATCTGGAAGGAATTGCCAATTCCCGTGTACCGGATACCAGTATCTGTCATTACGCGCCGATATCTGGGGGCGCCACCAATCCCTAAAACCGTGAGTCACCCAAACCGGCAGTGATCAGGTTCCAAAAATCCTCAGCTTAGTTTGTCATCATGTCCAGTTGAGTAGAAGCATGGCCCGTTGAAATGCTACCCGCATTGGCAACTTCGAGAAAAACAAAGCAAATTCCGTCACATAAGCGCTCGGCAGAGATCTCAAAACTTCACAATCCTGCCGTGCAAGTCACCTGACGCAGCCTCTCAGAATGTCACTGTGCCGGGGGCCAACGAATGCAATTACAAGTAAAAAATGCCCACGCTTACACGGCAAACCTTGACTCACCGCCCATGGGCCTGGCCTGGCCGCGGCAATTGGGGGGTGCGAAACTCTCGGCGAGATTACCGGCCACGCTCATTGACTTGCGAGTAGCGTCACCGTGCCTCCGGCGGGTCTTAGTCGAGAGGGGTTTTGGTGTTAGGCCTCAACAAGTAGGTGCGTCACGCCGCCTCAGCATTACGCACGCCATTGTGCACTGGGGGGGGATTCAACCGCCGCGCTCCCCCGAGCGTCCTCGTAGCTCCAGAGGGATAACGACGTGGGAGGACGGTCACATAAATGCCGAGACGGAGAGTTCGGCGAAGAGCCGAAGTGCTCTTAACATATTTTTAATCCTTTTTATTCAACCGTCTTACTGGATGAATCGGCCAAAGACTTTACTCGTTCGGCTGGTGGGGCCCCGTTGCGCTAAGCGGCTCGGTTACACGGACGACCGCAGCCATGGGCAGCGGCAGCAGTTAGGGGACATTGAAATTATGCACGGAGATATACAAAGTTACAGAGTTACACAGAGATTCTTAGGATTAAAGAGAGATTCATAGTTCAATTAAGACTCGCAGAGACGGCCGGTGAGGTCTATTGAGCGGAGCAGCTCTGCTACGAGGACGACCACAGGCGCAAGGCCGTCGGCAGTGGCGACAGTTACAGAACATCGCAAGCAAGGATTTGCAAACAAGCGCCTCCTCGATTTAAAGCTTTCGTGACTGCAGGGATTCATCGTCTTGGTTCTTTCGGTAAAGTCACGTAGAATGGAAATAATAAAATAACAAAAGTAAAAAAAGTTATTTTATGTTTTATTTTTATTATTTTATTATTTCCATTCCACGTGACTTTACCGAAAGAACCAAGAAGAAGAAGAAGCGCCTCCTCCATACTTCACCGTGCTGGCCGCAGTGCGGTTTGGCGGAGACGGCGGCGTGGAGCACGACGGAGACGAGACAAATGGAACGCGTTGCAGTGACAACGCAACGCACGTTCAGGGCCCAATCGCGCTCAGTTCCCAAGGTGTCACGAGGGACAGGCGCACTGCCGGCGATGTTGCTCAAAGGCGTCTTCCTTTGAAGGCATGTTAGACGCACGCTGCACCATGGCCGTCCTCAAGCATTACCCTGGGAAGTCTATGACAATGGCCCGTGACAATTTCGAAAGCGTTTGATCGTGTCTGGCACCCCACGCTAATTTCCAAGCTGCCACCGATAAGGCATCCACCGCAATCCACAAGCTTGGATTTCTAGCTCTTTAGCCGATAGGTGAATAGTGTGTATGCAGGCAGTTAATAGTGGCAAATATAATGCCTTCACCATGAACTCCGGTGTTCCGCAAGGCTTTGTGTGGCCTCCGACATTATGGCTTATCTTTATAATTGACGTATTACAAAATAATCCACCCATTTTCAATTGACAGCACACTTCAAGCATAATTTTAATTTAAATCGCACAGGGGAATAGACATTTAGTCGTCGAATATGCAGATATTTCCGTGGTGACGCGATGTTAACTCCCTTGCCTGGTATGCAGGAGGTCGTGGGTTCGATCCCCACCCTGACCCATGATGTATAATTGGAGTTTGCGTGTCTCCCTCCCCGTGGTCGCGTGGATTTTTCTCGGGGTCCTCCGGGTTTTCCCCTGTACATTTAGAATCACCGTGCGTTGAGAGTATTTGGCTGCAATCAATTTAAACGTAATATGCCGCTTCGTTGAGCTATCATTCGTGATAGAAGCCAAGTTGCTTCTAAAAAAAAGAGCCGAATATCTTCGTGGGCCTTACCATGCGAAACGAAGAATAGTTTCGATTGTAAAACGAGTTTCGTTTCAAGTAGTTTTTTTTGTGTGTGCCGTTTGGTCGTAACGCGTTGATGTGACGCCACTCCCCTTGCACGGCCTCTTCACTCGCCCCAGATTTCTTCAAGCGCGACCCGTCGGAGCGCCATCCGACTCGGGATATTAATTTGCAGCTCTGCGCTCTCTCACCTCTAGTAATTCGCGACTTGAATGATTGTTACGACTGTAATTGTCGTCGTTTGCTTGCACGACCCAAAAGCAGCCCTTAGCGTACAATCCACACCGAAGCAGCCTTTTCAGTGAGGTTAATTGAAGGTCGCGCTTGGCACGGGGGGGGGGGGTCAAACGCCTATGTTTACACGTGGCTCCCCACTGTAACAGCGGGGGGAGTCACTCGTGTTGTGGTGCGTCGTGTGTGTAACCGCTGCCAGGGCATGACCGGCGTGCACACGGAATTGAGGGGGGGGGGGCAGGAACCTGGAGAGCGCACGCGGTGGCTGCGGCTACGCGGACCGGGGCAGGCAGGCGAGGGGGGGTCAACTGATATTGAACGGCAGTCGCCGCGCGGCTCGACACGCTCGCTTGCCCTTCTCTGCGCGTTGTTTTTCGTCGGCGATTAACTTGCTTGTTTGCATTGGGAGGTTACATGACCAGGGGGCCGAGGTAATTATGGATTAAGGAACACAAACCCCCAGCATTTAAACAACAGCTGCTGTTGAATGTGTGTTTTCCCAGTCGCACCTGGTTGGCCAAAGTAATTATTTCCCATTGCTTTTATTGATCCCGGGATTGACCCGCGTCTGGGAAACAGCTGAGCCGTCATACCATGGGAATCAGACGCGTGGGCAGCCACAGCCACGAAGGCAGAGAGAGAGACTCGCCGCTTCAGCCGTGCCACGCTGGCACATGTCGGCAGGGAAATCTAGGAAGGGAAGTGTGGCGGTGTCTTGCAGACACGTACGTATGTTGTTGAACCTCGCACCGCACGTAGCCGACCGTGCTCATTGGAGGTGCGGGATACCCCAGCATACGTAAGCGGACAAAGATGCCTCCCTCCAATATCTGTGCATCCACGTCTCATCAACCACATGAATCTTCTTGGGACAGCATAATTTCAGCAACATTGGTGCAACAAAAGTAATCCCTGGACTGGTTTACGACAATTCCTGTCTCATCATTGGACCGGTTTTGACATTTAGTGTGTCAGAGCTCGGAGATTTCCTATAGGGGCACGAGAAGGCCGATCAATCTTATCCCATAATCCTCACAGACAGCGCCAATGAGCTGTGTTGTAGGGCAAAGGTCGCATGGTCAGGCCAAATAAATGAACATTGCTAAGCGCGACATTAGCTCTTCATTGTCATAAATATCATCATCATCATCCACTCTCAACACACTGCCAATGCAACTATAATCCATCT